TTTCGTATGCATTATTTTACAATTGATTTACAAGCATCTGACAAATTCAATACATAACTTTCGGAAGAAATTATGATGAATTGTAGATTTGGAAGTTAAATAGATTGAGTCTTTTCGAAAAAAATCTATTTGTCGTATTAACAGCACTCTATATAATGATTTGAGAGATCAGTCTCTTATGGGAATCGAAACCACATCATACAAAAGATGGTTACAGTTATTTGGTCTGTTGCCTATTCTCTTACGCCACAGAGACCCTCAACTCTAGGACTTAGAGATTCATCTATTTATGTTTCGATACCCTAGATTCCACCCCACTTCAACGCCACAAATTTCATACAACCAAACATATCCATCAGAATTTCAATCAAAAAACTGATCAGATTGTTAACAAAATTTCTAAGTCAATTACCTTCCCAGAAACTTTTCAAGTCAATAAAAACAGTTTCTCTATCAAACATTAAAACTTTATCATTCTTTCCACTTGTTTTCACTCTCATCCATTATCTATCAAAACAATGAAGCTTCAACTCTATTACATTCTGATCAATTATCAATACCACATACTTTATAATTTCTTTATCGCTCGGCATTGTTTTCATCATTGAGTAAACTAAAAGTTCTTTAAAAATTCCATGAAACTTTTCATTTTTTTTCTTCATCGTTTAAAAATTGTTTTTCTTTCGGACAATTTTTTTTCTGGAGCATTTACTTATGAAGTTGCTCGTGATTTTTCTCATGCTTTTGTTTGTTTGGAAGTTGGCTTAAGTTACTGAAAAATGATGAAATAAACAATACAAGTTGGAACTTAATAAATACAGCATTTTAGATTGGTTTACTGCTCTTGAGGTTTTTAAGGTACATCCTAGCTATGCTTTAAATTATCCGTGGTGTTTGACTTTGGAAAAACTGAAAAATCGTTTCTTGGAACTAAATCAAAACTTGCTGCTATATTATAAAGTTTCATGGCTCTTTTTATGCAATTTTCTGTCATCGAGTGTAAGGCAATCGAGGTTTTCGAGCGACATGTTACTTTACATAGCTACTACACTACTTAACCTCATTTTTACGTCTTCTCCCATATGTACGCATGTATTTTGATGCATCCAGTCTGACAAAAAAACAGCAATATCTCACTTCCCATCAAATCTGTGCCTTAAAAATATTTTCTTTTGCAAGAAAAAAAAAGGAAATAAAAAGAGATGAAAAAGAAATTCCTCTAATTTGTCTACAACTATCTCTCAGTCATTAATTACTTTTTTAATAGTTTTTCTTCCTCCTTTTTTATTTTTTTAACTATTCTATATTTTATATGCTGTATTTGTCGAGCAGAAGAGTTTCTTGTTGCTACGAGCGAATAATAGAAGCGAATGAATTTCATGACAGTAGTTCTTGATGTCTCATGTTGCGCAGCATAGTGCATTCTTTTATTCCACTTGTGGAGACATTTGATATTTTCCTTTCCTCATTTTTGTGATGATAAAGCACCAATCCAATGGCAGATTTTCTTTGAACAAAAATTTTCTCTTTAATTATTTTTTTTTGTCGTACTTTTCATTCTTAGTGTCGCTAGATACAAAATTTCTGTTCCTTCTTTAATGATTCTCGTTTGTGAAATTTAAGAGGAACGGATGAGGGAGTAAGGAATATAAATTCAACACTCTTCATTCCCTCTTTGTCATCATACAGTAAAGATATAAAAATTTCATTGCATTTTGTCATTTCTTTTTTTGAGAGCATCTCTCACGTTCTGATGAATTTGAATGGAACTATGGAAAAATACTCGTGACCCACATATGTCTGTATATCATATTGTAATTATTTAAACTTGTACACAAAGTAATTTATGGCGCAATTCAGAGAATGAATTTTTAATAATAAAAAAATGAAACCAGTTAAGATAACTGGAGCTTACTTGAGTTTTGAGGGAATTGAAGCAGAATATTATAATGATGATTTGAAGCTGCATACAGTAAATACGTTGTAAAAAATTATTATAAGAATATCATACACGTTTGTTGATTGATTGAAGCAATAAAATATTATTTAGGGTGCATTAATTCAATGAAAGCTTTTTAAAAATGGATAGACTCTCTCAATAGCATAGCGGGAGAGAGAAGTGCTGGAAACTAAATCCCCTTAACCATTCCTCCTCTTAGACTTTAAACTGACTACATTTTCAACTATTTTAAAGATTAAACAGCAATTCTGATTCAAAAAAAATCGAGGAATGATGAGAATCATTCGACAGAAATCTAAAGAAGGTTTCCAGAAGTTCAAGTTTGTGAAAACCTTTCTCCTTCTTTCTAAAGTACGACTCTAACAGTTATAATTTAATTATTTTGAATTTTCTTTGAGCAGTTTGACCAGTGTTGTCCAAACTTTTTTGAGCCAAGGCACACCTTAGTGGTAAGCCATTACTAAAGTCGCACACAGCATGCGGCTCACGTCATTTAAAAATAATTTCGAGAATTATTGAGTCCCTTTTAAAGACTTTGATTCAGCGTTCTTAATTTAAAGCCATAAACAATAACAAGCATTTATACAAAACCATAGAATACAACACAAAGGTGCTTTCTATTGTTGAATGCTCTAAAATTAAAAACAGCATGCATTTTCACCTCCAAATGCATGAGTTTTTCACTTGTCATAAAACAAAAATAAATGATGAATGTTCCCCCCCCCCCCCCTTCACGCCATTTATTTCAATGATTTTCATCCTCTTTGAAATGAAAAAGTACTCACGGTTCCCTTTTAATCTACAATTATAAATGCAAAAATAGAACTGAAAGAGAATTGATGTCAAGAAGCAAAAAGAGGGTGCAGAGAACAAAAGGAATTCTTTTTAATTTGACATCTTAAGTAGTAAAATATTGAAAACTAGAAATTAATGTCAGTCAAGGGTCAAGTGACTTGCTTAATGCAACAAAATGAAATGAAAGCAGTGTTGAAATCTGCCTATACTTCTGCAAAAAGACACTTTCTATATGAAGAATTTATCTTCTGCAGATTTCTGTCTGCATGTAGATTAAAAAAAATATCTACATGAAGAATCTATCTTCCAAAGAATTCTGTCTTCCACAGATTTCTGTCTGCATGTAGATCAAAAAAAGTGTCTACATGCAGAATCTATCTTCCAAAGAATTCTGTCTTCCACAGATTTCTGTCTGCATGTAGATCAAAAAAAGTGTCTACATGCAGATTCTGTCTTCCAAAGATTTCTGTCTTCCACAGGGTTTGTCTGCATGCAGATTATTATATTTTGATATTTAATAAATATTTTTAAATCAAAAACATAGAAAGATTTAGGATACAAAATAAAACAACGAAATTAATTTTGCAAATTAATGTGGATTCTTCTTCACTTCCTCTGACAAGTCTCTTTTATAAAAAAATGATCAAACATTTACGGGCTTTTAAAATTAATAAAAAGGGTTTTTTCATTTAAATTTTCTCGTTGTCAGAAAAATGCTTAATAATAGCATAAATACACTGAGTTACGTTTTTTATTAAGTATTCGATACGCCAATAAAACGATAGAACTGAGAAAACGTAGAAGGCTACGATGTCTGGTTGCTTCTATCTCAATCAATAAGCTACCTTTTTGAAATAAGTTTCAAAAATGCACTAAAAATGGATATTTTCAGTAACATACACACAATTTATCCACATTCACAAAATCACCATTCGCCACATTTGTCATCAGATTCATGAAAAGAAAAAAATATTTTGAATTAGTGTTTTATATTTGATTAAAATTAAGCTTCTCTGTCAGTCCAATTCGTACATTTTTACGAACTCTGTAAACCGTTACCTACAAATTGTAAGAAAATATTTGCATTTCGAGGTAATCGGGAAAATTTGAAAATGATTTGACCGTTAAAAGTACTTATTATTGTTAATTTATTGTAAAACCACACTTTTTCATTAAAATATAATAATCTGCATGCAGACAAACCCTGTGGAAGACAGAAATCTTTGGAAGACAGAATCTGCATGTAGACACTTTTTTTTAATCTACATGCAGACAGAACTCTGTGGAAGACAGAATTCTTTGGAAGACAGATTCTGCATGTAGACACTTTTTTTAATCTACATGCAGACAGAAATCTGTAGAAGATAAATTCTTCATAAAGATAAAATCTTTTAAAAATTCTGTAGTCTTTGTCTATGGAAGACGTCTGTCATTTCAACACTGAATGAAAGTTGAAGAAATCAAGGGGAAAACAACATGATGAGAAAAGGGGTGGTTCACTTATGACGTCCAACATTTAAGCGGGGGGGGAGGAGGGTCAAAAAATTTGTGACACATTGTGACAGGGGAATGAGGGGGGTCAGGTAATTTGGATTGGACGTCACGAAGAGGGGAGGGGTATTGACATATGTGACAGTTTTGAAACATAGGGGGGAGGGATCTAAAAAAATTAGGTTTTTAAAAGAAGTCATAAGTGAACGGCCCCAAACGTTGTTTTAGAAAACTCCAACTTTTTAATCAATGTTCTACAATTTGCCACAAAAGTAATAATAAGGAATTATTGGAAAATGAAAAGGAGCTGTCCATGATGTTGTTCTCCCCCTACATCTACCTTAAGTTCTTGAGTAAAAATTGCCTGAGTCTGTCTTAGCTATCTGCAACATAAACGCTACACTATAGACAACAGAACTATAAAACCAACAGCATTAGTGCTCCTATTAATAGCTAATTAAAGCAATCGTAAGTTTCCATGCACTAAAAGGAAAAGTGTTCGTTGATGGGTGACCGAAAACTTCCGACAGTTTCTTTACATCACAACTCAAATGCCGTTTTTATGTTATGAATGATTTATGCGACTGTGAGTTGAGGAACGGAAAAAATTTTCAGTTCTTTTCTCTATTTGGAGCGAAACTCTGTGGGACTTCAAAATTTATTATTTACTAGCTTACTAAATGACTGATTCATTTATTGTTTTAAACAAAAACGAACATAAATTCATTTATTCAATTCCTGTCTATTTTTATAGAAAATGCGTCAATTCCAAAAGACCTTGGAAGATTTGAGTTCGCGTGTTAGTCAAGCAGAACAATTGGCTCATTCATGGCAAACGCCAGCATCAGCAAATGAGGCAATTGATCAAATGCAGTATCTGCAGCGTCTAAAAGACCAGATGACAACAGCGGGTGCATTATTGGATGACTGTAATGAACAGCAAAGCTTTTTCACTGCAAATCACGTGTTAGTTCCTAGTCAATGCTTATCAAAGCTTGAAGATTTGAACACGCGCATGAAATTATTACAAATTGCCATTGATGAACGTCATAAGATTCTCGTGCAAGTTGGTGGAAATCAATTGAGTGCATCAATGAGTGAGAATAATAGGAATTTACATAACTTGTCTGGCACAATTGGTCCCGTACCGAATTTGGCGACAAGCGTTAAATCACCTTGGGAAAGAGCAACGACTCCAGCGAATGTGCCTTATTACATTAAGTAAGTTGCATGCCAATTTTTTTAATGTCTAACGTTTATTAATAGAATATTTCAATAACTAGCCACGAACGTGAAACAACAACATGGGATCATCCAGATATGATTGATTTAATGAAATCCTTATCAGACCTAAACGATATTCGATTTTCCGCTTATCGTACGGCAATGAAACTTCGTACCGTTCAGAAGAAATTATCATTCGATAAAATTCAAATGAATGTTGCCATTGAACGATTCGACATTCATGGATTGCGAGGACAGAATGATAAACTAATTGATATTGCGGACATGACGACAGTATTGCATTCACTTTATGTGACAGTTGATCAAATTGATATGCCACTTCTGTTGGATCTCGCAATAAATTGGATACTTAATGTTTATGATTCCCAACGTACTGGACAAATTCGAGTGCTTAGCTTTAAAGTCGGTCTCATATTACTGTGTAAAGGACCTCTCGAGGAGAAATATCGTTATCTATTCCGACTTATTGCTGATCAAGATAAGAAAGTTGATCAGAGAAAATTGGGACTTTTGCTTCATGACTGTATACAGGTTCCACGTCAATTGGGTGAAGTTGCAGCTTTTGGTGGATCAAATATTGAGCCATCAGTTCGTTCATGTTTCGAACGTGCTGGTGTTAATCAGAATGGCGAGCTTTTAGAAACTTCCATTGAAGCACAACACTTCCTTGGTTGGCTTCAACATGAACCACAAAGTCTTGTATGGCTTCCAGTTATGCATAGATTGTCAGCAGCAGAATCAGCAAAACACCAAGCAAAATGCAATATTTGCAAGGAATATCCAATTGTCGGCTTTAGATATCGATGCTTAAAATGCTTCAATTTTGATATGTGTCAGACGTGCTTCTTCCTTGGCAAAAATGCTAAAAATCATAAACTCACACATCCAATGCATGAGTACTGCACAACGGTAAGTCTAGAACATTTTTTTTTTGATGTTCCTTAATTCAATTAAATAATTTTTATTCATCACAGACAACGTCATCAGAGGATGTTCGTGATTTCACACGAGCACTTCGCAATAAATTCAAGTCAAGAAAATATTTCAAAAAGCATCCACGAGTTGGTTACTTGCCAGTCCAGAGTGTCCTCGAGGGTGATGCTCTCGAATCACCAGCACCTAGTCCACAGCACACTACACATACACTTCAAAACGATATGCATTCACGACTTGAGATGTATGCATCGAGACTCGCACAAGTTGAAGGAGGAAGTGGAACAAGAAGCAATTCAACACCAGAAAGTGACGATGAACATCAAATGCCAAATCCATCAATTTCATCATCAAACGGACCGAAATCACCAAGCAATGAAGCTGAAGAGCGCGAAGAGTTGGAACAAATTATTCGTGATCTTGAGGAAGAGAATGCCACATTACAGGCAGAGTATGAACGACTTAGAGTCAAGCAAACACCAACGACGACTCCAGACGAGTCACAAACGACACCAACACAAGGAAGTGGAACTGGAACTGGACAGGGACAGGTGAGATATATTTTTGAGATTTACAAAGAACTTGAGTTGAATTTTGTAATTTTTACAGGACATGATGGCTGAAGCTAAGCTTCTGAGACAGCACAAAGGACGATTAGAGGCAAGAATGCAAATTCTGGAAGACCACAATAGACAGCTTGAAGCACAACTACAGAGACTACGTCAGTTATTAGATGAGGTATGATTGCATGCAATCCCTTGTATATAATAATGTCTTAACATGATAATTATTCCCAATAGCCAAACACAAAAGCATCAACACTCCAAACACGAGCAGTGACAGCATCCCAATTGAATACGGAATCACCTGCTAAGCTCCAACAAAATGGACATTACACGTCTGAACAGAATTCAAGTGAGTAAAAGTTTCTTGATCAAATTATTGTGAATTAGCTGTGGATGTCTGGTAAATAAAAATTGTAGAAACTCATCGGTGATGGAAGCTGTACTTATTTATCTCATATATACATAGATACAGCCGGAAATAAGATTTTAAAATGCTAACCTTATTTTCTCATTGCACATCGATACTAACTCAATTATTCTTCTCTAACTTTATCTCTTCTCCTCCTTGTGCCTCCCCTTATTGAAAAATTCTCACACAATTTTTCGGTGTCGGGTATGATATGTAGATGGAACACAACAAATAGGAAATGATAATGGTGGTAATTTCAATGCTATGAGCAATGCATCGGGTGCACATGTGAATGAGCAATTAATGAATCGTCCACCACCACCTGCTCATACACATTCAAACTTATTGCATATGGCCGGTAAATGACTATGACTGGAAAATTTTACTAAGATTTTTTTTTTCATTTTATTAAAGCTTGATTTGCTTCTGCTTTTGAGATAATTATTGAATTTTTTGTTGTTTATTTGAAAGTAGATATAAAGGTTGGATCTTTCGAACTAGGTTAAGTAGTTCCAAAAATTAGCTTATTTATAGAATATAGATTACTAGTTTATATGTTGATGTATGGAAAATCGCCGAGCTTTAGCATAATTAGAACTGTTAACTACTAACCAGTCGAAGATTCTTGATTTGAAGGACTTTCTAGACCAGTGTTGTTCAAACTGTGTGCCACGGCACATTGGTGTGTCGACGATTTTTTTGAAATAAGGCGAGCTGTTTTCTGTGGGCGACTTTGGTCATGGATTACCCCTAATGTGTTTCGTGGCTCAAAAAGTTTGGACAACACTGATTATGGTTATTCGTCATGCACATACGAGCAGTTTCAATTGAGTCGAAAACTTAGTTTCCCAAAGATAGGCTAAGTTTATTTTTTGAGCTCTTATCCTTCTATTTCTTATTACTAATCTCGTTAATGATCATTGGTGATCCACTCTATTGAGAAATTAGGAATAAGAAGGATAAGGGCTCGTACTCAATACTAGTGACCTTAAAAAATTATAATAACCTTATGTTCTGTTCTCAATACTTGAGTTTCAAAAAGCAATCTAGTTTTGATACCTGAGCTAAAGACATGAGTATCACTGTGGCGGTATATTTTCCCTAAATTTGATGTCCACAACAACTATGCCTTTCTTAGTCTAAATCAATTTGTTTCGACTAGTCTTGAGTACTTTAACAAGCAAATTCAACTAGATATAATCGAGTAAAATCATCGCATTAAATCAAAAATATTCAAAAACTATCTCAAAAGAGTTAAAAGCTTATTTTTTTCGTAGCTATTAATTTTTCATTGCAAAATTAATCCCCATAACAGAGCCTAATATTTTATTAAATTAAATTTGCAGTGTGAAATTTTTTTTTTATTTTATCTCAAATATTTATTGCTGTCTCTATTTTAACAAATTTATACAATTTTTCTCTCCCTCAATTGCATTTTTCTATTTGGATGCCTACCCTCAAATAAAATAAAAATATAACAACTAACCAAAAAACCAACAGGACGAATGTAAATAGTAGCTTTATAGGAACTGGAAATGATCATCGATGAATGGCAAAAAAGCAATGTTTTATTTTATTGTTTGGTTGTTGTTTGGGATTATTAATTAATCATGATGATGGCGACTGATGATAATAATAATGATACAATTTTGTGGTCAGTTTTGGGAAACTCTTCCTACTCATCCTACTAATATGGATTTTTAAAAAGATGATGATGACCTTCCTACCAATTCACACAACAATTTTTTTTTTAAATTATAATTTAATAGTTAAATGAAATAAATATACAATTATAATGATGATAGTAGTAGTAACAATAATAATATCAATAATATAAATATATATAAATTGAGTACATGCATAACCAACAATTTTAATATCCTATACTCCTCCCCACCTCTTACGCAGATGAGGTGCAAATAAAGCATAAATATTAATTGACTAATTAAATATTAACGAGTGAAATAATGATAGTAATTTGCGCTTATCAACTGAAAAGCTGGTAGATGGAACATTAACATTAATTCTATAAATATTATACATATTATGAATATATATTATACACTCATACATACGCATGATGATGTATATCCCTTGTGTTGACTCTTTGTCAGGTTAATATTGGTTTTTGATTTCTTTTGGCTCATTAAGGTACTTAAAGGGGGTCCTATGAGGTCTAGATTCTCCTTAAGATTGAAATTCATATGTTAAAATTCAGAAACCCTGGAAATATTTCTAGACACACCCCTGGATTGCTTGAAATCTGAACTTTCTTAGAAAAACTTTTGCAATGATGTTGAAATAATAAAATAAATCCCAAAAAAGTCAAGCAACATTAACCAAAATAAATCTGACGAAATTCCCACAAGGAAGCATTAACACTTTGTATAAAAAAAATATTTCAGTTTTTAATTGAAATGAATTTTTTATTATTGACAATGCAGGTGACTTGAATAAGGCACTAAAGGACCTCGTCACCGTTATGACGGATCAGGAAATTGAACAAAGTGATTTGAATGAGAAAGAATAAAAGAGTCAATCAGCTTTTTGGAAAGTTGAATCATGAGAATATTTGTTAAAAAATATTGTGAACGAAATCAACACATAATCAATCTTATATCAATCTAATATCGATAATATCATTAATTATTAAGTAGCGAGAATGTCCTTTTTTAACAAAATACAAAAAAAAAAGCTAGTAAAAAATTGAAGTAGCACTCAAAATCTCTTTCTTTATATCCATATACATCTCTACGTCTACATTTCAGCATTTTCTATTTCTATCCTATGAAAAAAAAAGTAAAAATTAAAAATGGACAAAAACTTTTTATCCTTCTTCTAAATCATACAGTCTCACATCAAAGAATATAAAATCTTTTTCTACTTCTTTACATGGAGGAAAATACACTCATAGAAATTTTTACAATTTATAAAAATACCTACAAAAAAAAGTAACGCTTCACGTGGAAGTTTTGCAATAGAAACTTAAAGAATTTATTGAAACAAAAGATGGAAAATGATGGAAACTTTCTAATGGCAGTGGAAATTTATTGTTCATCATCGACATCCTTGAAATTGAAACCATAGTTGGAAATAAAGTCAGTTATTCAAGGCTGTTCTAGATTGCACTAGATTGCACTAGGCTTTGAAAGACCAGAAATGCGATGACTGAAAAACTAGAAATTAATGTCTCGTGATTTTACTTCAAAGGTCAAGCTTTGTTACATAATAAGATATTGGACAACCTTTTTGATATCAAGAGCCATGACTTGTTATATCAAGATCCATGAATTGTTATTAACCGAGCACCTATATTCGCATTGGCAGATTTGATTCCGAAAGGCTCAATACCTAACCCTAAACTACAAAAAGCTAGATACCAGCTAGATTTCAACAACTCTACAATGTTTAATAAAATACTTTAAAATCATCTTAATTAATAAAGTTAAATAAGTTCCTTTCCAATCCAAACGAAAAAATGATTAAAAATGTTTCCAAAGGTTGGATATTTTTGAAGAAACACTCAACTCTTTGGAGATTATAATTTGTAGATAGACAAAAATTAAAATAACGAGAAAATCTAAGATGATTGATCTTATTCTTATGACAATTAGTAAGAATATATCAAATTATTATCGAAAATTTAGTAGATAATTCCTGTAAAACCTTAATATTTTGCTGATAATTGAGATGATTCTGAAGTTATTTAACGAGTAGAGTTTTGAGAGCCATAATGTATCTTTTGATGAATAATTCATTTCAAATTAAAATGTTTTTTGAGAGAATGGCTGTACATTTAACAGCTAACCTTCAAAGCAGTCAGAATCCCCTGTCATTAGAAATTTTCCTTAAATTTCCAACTTTAAACTTTAAAACAGAAATTAAACCTTTTAAAATAAAAAACTTACAATCCACATTTTATCAATCAAACTACAAAACAAAATGAAACTTAGATAAATTAAATTTTTAATTATTACTAAATGAAACGAGGACCTTGATCAAGTGGAGATGCGAACTTAGTTAATATTGTAAAGGAAGATGAAGTTGCAAAAATAGACAACTTTGTCTTTCCTATAACTAGACTAAAGTTTGGCATATTAATACTGATCAAACCTAAAATCCTCAAAACCTAAAATAAACCAAAAAGTGTATTTTTATTGATTAAGAATTCATTCCCAATTATTTTCGAAAAACTTTAATTTAATACTTTTCTATCACTTAGCTTTTCTACCGATTAAACTACATATTTAGCTAACTTTAATTCTGTTATGATTCTTTATAGAAATTTTATTCTTATTTATGAAAAGAAATTGTTCTCATTCATAGCTACTATATTAATTAATTATATCGTGGAACTCGATACGAAAAAAAATTTAATTTTTTAATTACAATTTTTCCACACTTGTTGTTACAATTTTTTTTTCTTTTGGTTATTTAAAAATGTTTCTGTAAATGTATTAAAAAAATGCATCGTCGCAAAAAAAAAGCATGAATGACGATGACGGAAATGTAGTTAAAATGATATTTTGTAACTTGAGCTACTAGATGAAGATGAATAATCAGTAATATGAATTATGGAACCAATAATACATAAAAATTAATTAATTATCAAGAAATACTATCATGATTATTATTATCAAGAAAAGAATACGAGATATGATGGAAAATTGATGGAGCTGGATGTTGATGCCGACATTTTAATGGATTTATCAAAAAAAATATTGACTACATATTCCTTTCATTATTGACTAATGATTCTAATATGTAAGAAACATCTGAAAATGTCGCGCATCATCAATCACCATACTCTGAAAATTTACAGTAGTCACTGACATTCTACAGTCACTCATAACATAAAACACACATATTATACATTAAAATACATATGAAAAACGATCATGATTTTAAGATGATGTTCAAATCGCATGTAAAAGATGGAAAAAAAATCATTAATCATTAAATTTGATGAAATGCTTCATAGTCATATCATTTTTAGAAATGGACATAAAATGAAATAAGAAAGAAACAATTTGAGATAAAATAAAATCAATTTTTGAAATGAAAAATATTAAAAATTTGTGTCTTTTATTCTTAAAACTTTTTCAGAATTTTGGAAATTTTCAGTTCTCTTGGTTTACAATCAACTTAATTAAATTAGCAGAGTTTAGAACTTCAGATAGAAATTTCTTGAAATGCCATTATTTTAACTTATTTAGGTTTACCGAAGATAAAGCAGTTACCTACATAAAATCCATCTATTTAAGCTACAGAAAGAAGATGACGCTAGTAAACTCGCAATAAGTGGCAACTATGAAGTCAATGGGTAGTAGGAGGTATAAGCTAGTAATATCAAAATGCTGTTATGAGAAAACTAGGCTTCTTTCCGAAGACACCCGTCATACAAGTATACTTTTGATTCTTGATTGGTTTTGAGATCAAAGATAATATGCTGAAGATCTCGAAATCGACCAGGATTTCATTTGCTTAATTAGACTAGAAATCATAATAAGGGGCCGTTCACTTATTACGTTACGCAAAAAAACGACTTTTTTCACCCCCCTCCCCCCCTTGTTACAATATGTTACAACTCACAACCCCCCCCTGAACGTTCATAATTTTATTTTATTTCTTTTAAATCTAAAAAGACGGTTAAATTTGTTTTGATTTTTTTTCTTAAACATCAAAATACTGTACAGCTTAATAGGTCATGTTTTGATTGATACTATTAGTATTCTCATGAATTATTGGATTAAGATATAAAGCAAAAATTTGTTTTTTTTTTGAAGAAAATTTGAAAATGTCATGAAAAATATTATGCCCGATCGAATTTTGGAAAATTCAATCAACTTTGATATAAATATCACAATGATGGGATCATATTAATCATCATATGAATGACAGATTTAGAGAGATTTACTTTTAAACTTATGATTGATTTAATTTTGAAAATTTCCACAAATTATGATTGTATTTTAAAGTCTGTTTTCTGTTGATTTGTTACTTTATATAACAAAAACTATGTATTGCTTATCTATCAAAAGTGATTTGGACATTCATAAATCATTAAAAAGGTGGAAAATTTAAAAAAAAAATGTTTTTGGTGTGAATTTGTTAACAAATTTTTTTCGTGAACTTAGAACGTTACATACTTCTTGACACCCCCCCCCCCCCCCCTATGTTACATTTGGTTACAATTTTTCAACCCCCCTCCCCCCTAAAATGCGAACGTAATAAAAGCAAAACCAATGTATACTTCCGGAAGCTTTCTTTAAATTTGAAAATTTCACTTATTCATTATTATCCACTTATCAGGTGTTATATCAGGAACAATTTTAATAAGACCTCATTTGCATAAACTTACAATAACATTCTCACGATAAACGACTGCTTTTTATGCCTTCTTTACAATTTTCAGTCACGAAGACATAAAATTCTCAATGACATATTTTGCAAGATTTCTCATTGAAAAGGCTTCATAATGAAATAATTCTTGGCCTTCACACTTTAACAAGTACTAGTCAATTATTCCGAAGAAATCGTGGATTGGATTGAATGTCTTGAAAAGAACGCTAGAGTCCTTAATATCCCGAACTGGCAGAAGGTTTCTAAGGATAGAGCTGTCTTCATACGAGCTCTAAGCGAGGCCCATTGCCCCAGCCAAGCAAGGAAGTAAGTAAGTCAATTATTAAGTACAACCTGTTCCTCAAAATAATTTTCATTATAAAAACCCTCAATCATTTTTCATTTCAAACTTTTTAAATGTTCTTTCATCTTTCCTAATGTCTCAGCCAAAAGCATGTTTGCCATAAACATCTCAAGTGAAAAAAATTTCATTACACTTTAATTTTCATCTCAAGTGCACTTTAATCTCGATATGAAATTAAGTTGAACCAGAAAGCACAAGAAAAATATTTGGTGATGATTTCTTTGTATACTCGTAAAAACTTTTGAAGAACAAGATAAACACAATCAGAGTTGGTGATTTAGATTGTTAGAGATCAATCTTATCCAGAGCACTTGACAGCAGTTTATCAATTAGGCCACTAAGTGCCTCTTGAAATCTTTTGTTCCGTTCTTTTTTGTTTGATTGAGATCATCTGAGATCATACTTTAACCTATATAAAGACGAGATTGCGAGAATAAGGCCACTGTGTAGCAGAATGGTTTGGTAAATTACCGGAAATCCATAATCTTAATATTTGAGATGACGTGGGTTTGAATCTTACAAATAATTACAATTACATAAAGCATGGTCAATTAGATAAGGGTCTTCCCAAATCTCATGAGATGTCCAATTTCAAAGATTTAGAGTTGTATTCAGTCAGAAACAAATCTAATCTTGTTAAACAAACAGATAACAACACTGCAAATAATAAAGAACAAGAAAATAAATTCCAAGGAACTAAGAAAAGAAAGAAACCACAAAAAAAAGAACTCACAACATGCTGTCTCTTCTATCTGTCGAAATGGAAACAAAAGAAAAAGTTTTGGATAAAGTTGTTCGGAAAATTTCATTGAGATTAAAAAAAGTGCAATTGAAGATGTAGTTAATGTTTACTACTCTGGTTGCCCTGGAAATTTTTATTACAGAATTTAAAAAGATATTCATGAAATGAAGCTCCATGCATTACAGCTCAAGATGTCACAAGCTGACTTCCTTCCTTCGTTATTCTTTTGAATATTTTATTTTAAAAAACTTTCATGATTTAAATCCAATTTGTGAATCTGACATGTGCATTTACAATTAAATTGACAAATCATGGAGAATTGATGTTCAATATCCGATATGAAAATTCATAAACTTATTGATTGGAATGAATAAAAAAGATTTTTGACATCATGAATACAAAGATGCAGTTCTGTTGTGTAATGAGATAAAGTTGTCTGATCTGTAGGTGAATGCAAGTCAAGTTTAAGATCGATACTTTGTAAAGTAAAGCTTTAATGATTAAAATGTTGAATCTCAGATTCATTATTCCTTAATTTATTGCATCTTTAATATACATCCTGCCTATTCTAGTCTAATTAATCAATTTAGTACTAACCCGATTGGCACAAGTCGGTTAATTGATCGTCATGCCAGAGTCAAGCCTGAATTCTTTTCAATTAACCGACTTGTGTCATTTGAGTAATTTCCTAACTATAATGCCTAATTTTCAAGTAGAATTATTCCTCTAGATTACGATCAATCGGGATCAATCATCATTAAAAATCCGATTTTCAGCCAAACTCTCTTTATGGACAGAAAACAATTTCGTATCCAGTCTCAGGATTTCCATGGCATGTAAATGTACTTGTTGTATCATCATATGCATAGCTGTAAGCATCTGGGCAAGCTTGTTTGAAAATTGCTGGATAGTTGTAAGGCCAGTTGCTACTCTTGCAAGTTTGTGGAGTTCCATAAGCACCACGACAACAATACTGATCAGTATTAAAAGCTAAGCAAGCACTTTTGCATGCAATTTTCCATCCATTATGCCAAATTGCTAGCTCATTGGGACAAATTTCATTCAAGTCACGGTAGCAGCCAGCTGAATTGCAGTCAAAGTATGAATCTGAAACTTTTCTGAAGGTTCCTGGAATTGGGTTGATTTTGATTGGTAGGTTGTAGCCATCGACAAGAGACACATCATAATAATCTTGATTGCCCCAACCATCAAGTGTGAATTCAGCTAAAGAAGCTGGTGGATTTCCGGTTCCATCGCATTGAATTTTGTTTCCTGTGTACAACATGTTTTGTTATAGTCATGAAAAAAAAAAATATACAACTCAGCAGTCATCACTTACCACAATCTCCACTAAGACAGTGTCCATTGCCATCGCAATCTCTTCTTGGCCAAATACGTCCACCCCATCCATATCCAACATGAAAAACTTTTGTTTCCCATAAATTTAATTGGAATCCACCGTTTAATGGAGTTTCTTTGCCTGGATTTCCCAAAAGTCCTGGCCACACTGGAAATGGACAATTGTTTCTTAAACGAAACTCATGAGCATATGACGTGCTCAGCATCAAGATAAATATTGAAGTAACTTGTAGCTTCATTTTTTTTCACTCTTTTCTTTAATTTGTTTTGATTGTAATGATGAAAGTCTTTGAAGTTGAGTTCCTTTTATACAAAAATGATTTGAATCTGAACACACGTGATGATAAGGCGTTATCTAATCGGAAGTTTTCTTCTCGACTCTTGATAGAGTTTTTTCGTGAGAAATAAACAATTAGCTCAGTTTTGCTACTTAACAGTTATATTTTAAGCAAGAATCGAGAAAGTGCAGCGTGATTAGGGCGATAAAAAAGATCCTGGGGATCAAAAGCACTCTTGAATCTCTCAAAGGCTCCTTAATCAAACGCATGAATTATCAAATCATTTACATCTGAAGATAATTGAGGTTGCAGATAATCAATGTCCAAAAGCAGACATGTCAAGAACTGAAAAATTTGTCAGGTTACTCAAAAGTTAATGATGTCATTCAATTAAAAAACAACCTTATAAAGTCTAATTAAGTGGTGAAGTTTAGCTTGAAGTGCTTTTTGAATTATGACTGTATTTACCGAACTTTATCAGTCTTTTTCCTATCAGCTAAAGAAAGAAATTATTCTCAGAAATCAGCAAAAGCAGACAATAATTGTAAACAGCACAAACCAAAGAGTGGAAATTGTAATTAATGGAGGTAATGCGTATTAATATTGAATGAGATTTGCTTTATCATATAATGCAACCATCCAGTGACATAGATTTTATTTTCGAAAACTTATTGCTGCATTTAATTTCGCGTAAATATTTTTTCATCAATTCTATATCACAAATATTACCAACTAGTGTATCGGGTAGAAACCCAATGCGGATATATTCACACCGTACCATCAAAAGTCTTATGGATAGATCGACACAGTTCAAAAGTTATACCTAATTTATGTCATAATTATGTCAGCTACAAAAACACTTAGTTTGAATTTTGTCATCCTCGGGAACACCATGAACTAGTATAGCTGATTTTGGTCCAAATCTCGGCCATACTTCACACTTATTTGAACCACATTTTCTCGTAAATGTTAAAATATTATTAAAAAGTAATTAATCCTGAATTATGTCGCTATTTTTTCAAGTGTTTTAAGATAAAGAATTTGTTTTTTTGGTTTCCACAGTGAAGAGTATGAACAAAATTCAGATGGGGTAGTCGAACTTTTAGATTTCGATTTTTTTTTAAGCTATGCATTACAAAAAGTAATATCGGTATGTGATTTATGTCAGAATTATGTCAATTCAAATAAAACATCTTAAAATTTTTTTGAGCAAAGAACCAAATAGGAAATACATTTTCAATTATGAACTTGGGACAGGTCCAGTCAAAATCTAGTTTTTCATTTTTTTCTTCGAGGATAAATCCAAATACAGTAAAACTTTGTATGAGCATTCTAATCTTCAGGTCACACATTTCTGAATTAATAAAAATCATGTTTTTGGACAAAATTTTAAGTCACGTTGTTTTTGAATGCACAACCAAATTTATAAAATTTGGTTCTGACGACATACAGAATACATTTCTTCCTTTAGATATTTAAAACTGTTTTGTATTAATATTAGTATACTCACTCAAAGTTTCACTGTAATTGGATAAACCTTCGAAGAAAAATAGTGAAAAACTAGATTTTGACTAGGGTCGCCCCTAGTCCAAAATTGAAAATGTATTTCCTACTTGGTTCTTTGCTCAAAAAAATTTTTTTCATCGAAAGTTTAATTTAAAAAAAATCACAGTGAACTTTTAATTTGAAAAATTCGTAAGAAAGGAAAGTTTTTTGCTTTTTCTGAAGCAACGGCTGTTCCTACCTTGCCTAAAAACAATACAGCTTTTCTATAGAGTAGCACGGATCAAATGTAAAAAACTAGACGTCTCTACAATGTCTCGTTATTGAGATTTCTTGCTGATTAACTTGCTTGTTTGCTTGCTTGCTTGCTTGCTTACAGACAATATTTTGCGATTTTCTCAGCAATGCCGCAACCAATTTGAAATCTGTTTTTTGCAAAAGATGTGAAATTCAAGGCACAAACTTTTCATCTCTGATTATTTTAAGCTATCTTGCTCCATATCCTCACAAAATTCAAAAAACTGATTTTTCAATCTGAACAAAAACAAAACATTCACACGTGAAAACGGTGTGAATATAAAAAAATATTTAATTTGCAGTTTTTGTGTATTGATTTCATTAAGTCAATTTGACACAAGTGCGAATGTTCCGAGCATAAAAAGGTGGAATTTAGAAGTTCTACAGCATTCAATCGATATTTTAAGTAATTGATCTATCACGCTGATGGCTAGAAATAAGTTCTTAAATAACTGAAAATTGATATTGCCATCTTTTCAGCAGTGAAACCTATCGAATCTTTCCCAAATCTTTCCATCTTATGCATAGTCCATTAAGACAATATCACAGACACCAATCAGTTCCATAATATTATGGATTAATATTACTAAAGATATTCAAAACATTTTGGTTCTCAAGCGCGCCTAAAGTTTAATCAAACATTTTTTGGACAGCATTCTTACCCATATAATCATAAGAAACAAAAAGATGCAGCTAAGATTACTGAATTTTCAAAAAAAAAATCCGTTCCAAATAATTGTGTCCAAGAAATCATATTCCCGTTGCTAAAAATCAATAAGGTCATTCTATGCTCAGCTAGAAAAAAAGCAAAATTGACACCATGTCATTCGATGGAAGCTTTCATATCACAAAGATAATATCATTAAGAGAAAATAATTTTCTCAAGTCTCAAATGATAAAGGAAGACAGAACAGAACAGAAATGAAAAAGTGTTAAATTTTTTCCTTCATTGAGAAAATTGAGATGAAAAAGGAGGCAAAAAGGACATGCAATAGCACTAAATTGAGCTATATTGAGAGAACAGCGATGAACAGAGAAAAGGATAACAAAAAGTATGGCATTAAGTAACATTAAAGAAGGAAAAAGAAAATCAATTGCAGTAAAATGAGAGAAAATTGTTTAATAAAAAGAAAATTGCAGCCATGAAAACAGTGTGATGGGTGCTTCTTGTTCCAATGATATTTTTATAGTGGAATGAATGTTAAAGTTGATACTTTGTCATGCTCAGATTTATGTCAATTTTAAGTTTTGACATTTAAAATTTAGTGCTGCAAATTTTTATGGTTTGAACTTTTGAGATTAAGCTCAGTTTTGGATTTTTTTGATAAACATTTCAGCTTAAAATAGCGCATACCTAGTATGAGGGTCGTTCACAAATGATGTTTTCATTTTGGAATTCGAAAGTTTGACAGTTCCATTCAAGACATTTTTAAATAAACCTCATATTCAGATATTTTTCATGTAATAGTTTATGAACTTGACCAGGCTTCCTACAAAATAATAGAAAAAATTGGGACTCTACTTAAGGTTTAATATTCCCCTACCCCCTTACAATTTTCAAAAAATTTCCATCTTACATCATCCAAAATCCAGCATTTAAATGATCAAAACTTTTCAACATTCACAAACAATCAACCGGTGATTTTTGCCTCGATTCCATTCAATTCCATTCCCATAATCGATCTATTCGTGACTCTGACTAAAAAAGTAGAAGATGTACAGTAATGTTGTCAACAAAACTTTTTTTTAAAAAAGTAGCACTAAAGCCTCATCATGAAGTGCGATAAATTTTATTAGATTTTCGTGATAGAAGTTACGATGACAAACAGCTCTAGTAAAAAAAATTCCAGCTTGTTAAACCAACCATACACGCTGTGAGTTTAGCAGCATAAAAAAAGTATTTGTAAGCTTCCTCGAATGTCATTTTTTCGGTTGAATCCACGACAAAGTCGTTCGCTTTCTCGCTCACATAAAAGTTATCGCAGTTTGCAGAAGCACAAGGAGAGTAAAATTGTAAAATAAAATTCATTTGACTTTTTAACTTAACAAAAAGGGAATATTTTTTGCTTCCAATTTTATTTTTTTTTCTTGGAAGAAATACATGCACAACTTTTATTTTTTTCCTCTTATTTAAAAATCGAGAAACATGATGCATACAAGTTATTTAAAATGAGCAAGAGCTATACATGCTTTTAAGTTCAAAAAGTTTCTTTGGAAATTTTAAATTATTTTTTATGAGAATTAAATTAATTTTGTTTTATTTAGGGATATTAAGCACCTCCCGCTCAAGTTTTTGTAAAGTTTTTGAGTATTTTTTTGGAAATATTTTACATTTATTTGAATATTTTGCAAAATGGAGTTTTTGACACAAAACTACTTTATATCAAATTAAATCTTTTAAATTCAAGTGTATGTCCTTCAAATTTAAGTTAAGTCATCATAAAAACAGAAATCAAGCAGCCAGATTTCTAAAAAGTCATGAAAAATTGAATCACCTTGAAATTACGACTTTTTTAAAATCAAGCATGACACATTTTAGTTTCCAATTCACTTTAAATCAAGCTAGACTTGAAGTTAAGAAGAAGTATCCTAAAATGGAATGAAATCTCAAACTCATGAAAAAGTCACTGATCTTGCATAAATTCAACATCCAAATAAGTTCATTGAAAATTCACTGATCTAAAATGCATTAAAAATTTTAAGACTTGTGACACTTGTTGCGGTGATTTCAACAATAACTCAATCTTTTGTCTTCTTCTACGTCGATTTAAGCAAATAGAGAACATTGAAATCGATGCTTTGTTCCACAAATAGTTTGAAGGTCTTTTTTCCATGTTTAAGAATATTGATGGAATTATTCTGGTCCCCTCCTTTGTCCTCCAACTTATTGTTGCAATTCTAAAACAATTTTAAGCTCGATACCTAGCCCTAGTTCTCATATTGACAACATATGAATCAGATCCAAAAGTAAACAACCCCACATCCAAGTCTTATTTTAAAAACCACTCAAAATTTAAAAACTCCCCTCAAAAACTTTAACTGTAAATTTGTTCGCAAAAAGCAATAAAGAAAAAGAAACAAAAAAAAATTTAAGACATGAGCCTGCAATGTACATAACTTTATATATTGTGGCTTTAACATTTTCATTACCGCAGAACATCAGAAGGAAATTTTTTTTTTCTACGTCACTTTCCTTCCCTTTCCCAGACCTTGCCATTCTATAATAAATTCTAATTAAGCCTCAAAGTTAAACATCATCACACTTGATGATACTGTTACTGCTGCTGTTGCCATTTAGAAAATTTACATTTATTTATCGTAAGTACTACAGCTCCTCATTTCTTTTCAGTACATGGAACAATAACTTGTGAAAGTGAGAAAGGAGCATAAAATGTTTTCCATCATCATTGGCTTAATTTCATATCATAACATCGTATATGCATGTCGATGTATTCAAAAAAGAGGAGGAAATGCAGTTTGGTGTGGGGTTGGAGTGAGCGCATCTCGCGTCTTGGGAGACTGTATAGTGCATATGGTGAGATTTTTCAACCTCCTGTTTGACAGAAGGGTCAATCTGTGATCTTTATTTTTCCAGTGTGTCCCCTAAGATGGCTCTGATTCATCTGGCGCATCCAGTTGTATTATTCAGTACATCTGTATTTTTAATGGAAAAATTAAGACCCTCACAGACTGTATTCTGTATACTAGACCTTGGTTTGGGTCTTAATCGTGGCAATCATCCTCAATATACACAAAAGGAATACGAGATACTGGAGAAAAAAATTAAGAAAAAATGGAAATTGATGGGAATTTTTGATTAAAACTTTCCTACCATGTCTTTTTCCCTTGCCATACCCCAAATATCATCCAGTAGCTGCACATAATCCACAAAAAAATTGCAAACGACGAAAAACCCAACATAAAGCGAACACATTCCTCACCATTGTTATTCCTAAAGCTTTTCTTTTACGACTTTTCATTTCTACACACAGAGAGTAAAAAATTTAATATTTTTATTTCTCCTTCCTCATTTCCCTCCTACGTATATCAGTGGATGTGCGAATTCTTTTCGTTTTGTTTTGTGAAAAGCGATACAAAAAATATTATGCATCATAAAATTATAACTTTTCATCGTCAGCTTATAATTTATATCAACATTTCTTTACAGTTTTTATTTCTTATAACATCAGCGACATGATAATGAATAAGCAGATTCGTTTGCAGATGACCGACCTACTTGTGCTTCTTTTTATATATTTTATAAGATGTGCATTAAGTTTTTTGCTATTATAAAAACAATTGTAGCCAGTGGCATTATAGCTCTCGAAAATTAAATAAGTAGTTGGAGGAATTGAATGACTCTTGAAAGAATTTTCTCATTCTTCTTCCTGATTCTTATTCAAAAATATAAAAATGTTATGAGGACGATGAAGAAATCAACAAGAGACGAATCGGCTTGTAAAGAATGAAAGAAAGGGAAATATAAAATATTATATACAGCTCCTGATTCTGTCAATTTTGACATATTTGCATCATTTTCCAGGAACATGGACAAAGTAAGGCTCACAGTGAGCTTAAAAAATATTATTTTATCTAATGAGAATTGAACTTACATCATCCAGAAGCGAAAACCAAACAGTTGAGTAAAAAAATCTATATACTTCACAAGCGAAAAATGCAAAAATAAAAGTCAAAAAATATTAATCTGCAACGGAACTACAAGACCCTTCAAGAATCAGTTTTCGCCATGTATTACCTGCAAATTCCTTGCAGTCGGACAATTTATAAAACCATCAGCAAGGTGCCATCGGAGATCAACTGAGAATTTGTCTTGTTGAGATTCGAACTCCAGAAATTACACAGAGCCAATGAATCCAACTCACAATCCTCTGACTTTTTTACCACTAAAAGTCTTGGATGTAAAATTTGGCTAAAATGCAATTAAAGCTACATGTTTTTGAAACTTGCTCTTGTGAAGTTTAAAGATTACATGCAAAAAATTTTCATTATTTTTTTATGAAAACTGAAAACTTGAACATTATTATTTGATTAGATGTGAATATATTCTGCACAAAAAGGTATTCTAAGCATCTAAAATTAAAATTTCTATCCCTTTTCTGAAGCGCGTCCTCAAAAATTGTCAATTAATTGAAGATTTAAATCCCAATATCCATTTTCGGCCATAAAACAGTAATAAAATCATCATTCATAGAAAATTTTCCCATAAATAAAACTCAATTTCCTTTAATGCGCTATTAAAATCATTCATTTTTATGGAATGAGCTTTTCTTCTTATATTGTCTGTACCGCACTTGATAACAAAAACATTGAAGCAAATTGTAGTTACATATCTGAACATATATTTTTATAGCACCGAACCCTTCAAACATTTTGCTCTCTTCTTCTTAATACTACAATTTGAAGAGGATTGCATTTATTTCATTTAACTAGCCAGTAGCAAAAGAAATTCCATTGATCTGGTTCTTAGAGTAATTGTTATTGTTTTGCTGGTTTGTCAGACTGGATGTTAATTTGAGCTCATTTATTGGGGGGTTCTCGCTTTACATATTTGAATATTAGTATAAAAATCTTATCTAAGTTGAATGTATGCAAAGCTAGGACCCCTAATATCCAACTCCAAGACTATAAAGTCTCTACAACTTAAGTTCCTCATCAAAAAATATGTCCATAATTAAATTATCAGCACTAAAATTGTGCGCTAATGCGAGTTCTTCTTTTATGCTTCAATTCCTAATTTTTCCTCATTTTCTCGTCTTTCAATCGTCCAATAGCATAATCTACTTGAAGAGAGGTCAAGTCTTCCTTTTCTTTCTTCATTTTTTGCATAGAAAATAAAAAAAAAAGGAAAAACTGTTAACAACAGTGTTGGGGATATTATTGTAGCCCATTTTGAGAATAACACAAGACTTTCTTTTTTTATATTTTACATTTTTTTAATGCCACTTAAGAGATTCTTTTCTGTATCTTTAATACTGAATTGTTTCTTGCTTCCGTCGTTTCTTGTTGTTTGAACATTTTTCATGAAAAAAAAGAATTCTTTCGGGGCTGTT